AWKGKTTKGGKTKGRARGGRMCYTWAAAGAGCATCTTGTTCCAATGCCCTGCCATGGGCAGGGACATCTTCCACCMGACCAGRCTGCTCAGAGCCCCATCCAACCTTGAACACTCCCAGGGATGGATCATCCACAGCTTCTCTGGGCAATCTGTCCCAGTGCCTCAGCACYCTCACAGTAAATAATTTCTAGCATCCAATCTAAACCTACTCTCATTTTGAAGCCGTTCCCCCTTGTCCTGTCRCTTGTAGAACATTGGGTRGAGAATGTTTTCCCCACTGCAGATGTTTGMAGGGACTCAGCACAAAGCAGAGCAGCACAGCCAAGCAGGGACAGCAGCAGAGGGACCAGCCATGTCCCCTGAGGGACACTTCCYTGGGGACACATCCTTGGGGACATCCTTGCAGCTGGCTGCTTTCACTGTTGCATCTTCTGCCAAAGGTGCTGCACTGCCCTCGGAGAAAAGAGAGGCACAAAGAAAATGTCACACACAACCCACCTTCCAAACTGCCTTTGGAGAGCGTGGCTTCAATTAAATGTAATCACTCAATTTTGAGTCAAGGGCAGCTCCTCGTGCTGTTATTTCTCTCCCCAGTGGCCTGACAGAGGGGGAGCAGCTCCGTGAGGGCGGCTGCTGATGAAGGGGAGCCTCCAAATGAGGGGATGTGTCACTGCATCTAGGTCAGAGGAGTCACAGGAAAGTAACTTCCATGGCTGCTCCTTGTTTTTGTTTATATTTTTTTTTTTTTAATTGGGCTTCTAATAAGCATGTTAGCCAAATTATTATAAGCAGCTGCAGCTATCAGCAGCAGGCAAGGATATATTTACTGCATTTGAAAGCTCTCTAATGAAGCTTTGAAGTCCAGCTCATCCCAGATTCATGCTGCGAAGGATCTGTAGCCATCGTGGCACTTCTCTGCTGACTTCTGAAGATGTGAGACTTGAAAGTAAATAGATACTAAAATATGGATACTCAAATTGATATTTCAAAACCTGCAGCTGACTGTCACAGGGTTTTATTTGTGTTTCTCAAGGGCTTTGTTTTCCTTTTCTTACCACAGTGTCCCTTCACAGTTCATACTTACATTTAATCATAGGCTACTTTTCACAGTGTTGTCAACCAGAGAACCAGTTGATGAACCTAAAAAAATAAAATGGTATGAGTAACATGCAGAAAATCGACAAAAAGGTTTTGCTCTGTGGATCCTCCCTCAGCATGAGGTTCCAATTCCTTTTTCTGTGGCAGCCTGAGTCGAGCTGCAGGGTGAAATAACTCAGCATTAAATGGCGTGGCATGATGAGGTGGTGGATATTGCTGGGGTTTATAGCCACACACAGCCCTGTTACGCTGCTTTTCCATGGTTCACCTACACATGTTAGACATACCCTGCAGTGAACACTTCTAAAATGTGTGAAGCCACCATGTAGCCCAAGGGGAATCTAATTGCACCCTCCAGCTTCTATAGAACACTAATCCTGACCCTAATGGTAAGCAAAACTATAAAGTATTGGGCACATTGAGATTTTCCAGCCTTTGCAAGAGTGTGTACATTGAATTAATCTTACAGCTGTGTAGTTTCCACTGAATTACCATTTCCTTGTGGTGTGCACTAAAGATAGTGATGGAGCAGGTATGAGTGTGAGTAATGGGTAGGATGGCATTGCAGTATTTGGGTTCTTTGTCAATTGCTTTCTTCTCTTTGTTCTGTTTCTTTGCTTCTGTTGCTGTTGGGATATTTTTAAATACTCAAGTAGAAGTATCTTCTGCATCAAGAAAAAAGGGTGGAACCCACTTTTAATGTATGCTTTAAAGAATACATGTGTGTGTGTGTGTGTGTGTGTGTGTCTGCATGTACCGTATTTATAGTGGCTATCCTTGAGGTTACTATGTCTTGGTCAGCTCTATCAGAATTCACTACAAAAAATTAAGATGGAAATGAAGATCAAAATTAAGAATTAAAATAGATACAGCTGTTCTCAAGACTGTTTCCCCATCTCAAATTGATTTTTGCCCTATGGGACATACTTTATGTTCTGACTCTGTTGCGGATGTGTCCCCCACAGATCATCTTCCGGAAGATCAGCGATGTCAAGAAGGAGGAAGAGGAGCGCCTGCGCCAGAAGAACGAGGTGACGCTCAGCATCCCCGTGGACCACCCTGTGCGGAAACTCTTCCAGAAGTTCAAGCAGCAGAAGGAGATGCGCAACCAAGGCTCGAGCCACATCGACCCYGAGCGGAACCAGCTGCAGGTGGAGAGCAGGAGCGTGCAGAACGGGGCGTCCATCACGGGCACCAGCGTGGTCACCGTGTCCCAGATCACCCCCATCCAGACCACGCTGGCCTACATGAAAACCAGCGAGGCCGTCAAGCCCAACAACCGCGACGCCATGGAGCTGAAACCCAACGGGAACGGGGACCAGAAATGCCTCAAGGTGAACAGCCCCATGCGGATGAAAAACGGGAACGGGAAAGGCTGGCTTCGGCTGAAGAACACGATGGGGGCCCACGAGGAGAAGAAGGAGGACTGGAACAACGTCACCAAGGCTGAGTCCATGGGGTTGCTGTCCGAYGACCCCAAGTCCAATGATTCGGAGAACGGTGTAAATAAAAACCCGCTGAGGAAAACAGACTCTTGTGACAGTGGAATAACAAAAAGTGACCTTCGCTTGGATAAAGCTGGTGAGACTCGCAGCCCCCTGGAGCACAGCCCCATCCAGGCGGATGCTAGGTGTCCTTTCTACCCCATTCCTGAGCAGGCCTTACAAACCACRCTGCAGGAAGTCAAGCACGAACTCAAAGAAGATATCCAGCTGCTAAGCAGTAGGATGACTGCCCTTGAGAAGCAGGTGGCAGAAATTTTAAAATTATTGTCCGAAAAGAACGTATCCCAGCTCTCTTCCCCCAAGTCTCATTTATCACCCCAGTCCCCTCCCCAGATATCCTGTCAGGATATTTTTAGTGTTTCAAGGCCTGCATCACCTGAATCTGAAAAAGATGAAATCCACTTTTAGCATATACCTATGTGTATATATGTATACAGTATATATGCAGAGGTGTATATATACCTTTATACATATATATATATGTGTGTGTATACGGTAAATATATATACATATATATTTTCACTTGCATCCRATATGACTTGAACACACCAAGGATTTTGATATGTAAATATTGCATGTCCAGCTGGATTCTGGCCTGCCAAAGAAAGCAATTATTAACATAGATATTGCCTGTATAATATGCAGTTGACTGCATGCACACTTTACATTTATTTATAATCTCTATTGTGTAATAAAAGAATGACTTTTGTTTAACAAAGGCAATGTAATATTTAAAGAATCAGGGTCTAACCTGCCAATATTGCCATGACAGTTTTGATCTCAGGCTGGGTGAATTGAGCTTTTATTTCCTCACTGTCTTTTCTGCCGAGTTAAACAGTAGATTAATATGACGTGAAGGACACGTTCAGACTCCTGTTAGTATTGTTTCCTGGTATCATTCCATGACAATATACTGTATATTTGGTGATGAATTCCCCTTCTCCTCCTAAAGGGAGGGCTCAGCTCAGTGGGCAGGGAAGGGCACCGTGCCTGGTGCTTGGGTGGATCACTGGAATTTATTTGTGTGGGTATTGTGCATGCACAGCCTTTTATTTCAAGTATCCTCCTGCTCTTTTAACATCRTAAGTAAGAAATAATAATAATAAKAAGAATAAGAATAAKAATGGTGATTTATGTAACAAAATGAAACTAACAGAAACTCTCTCAGTTGCACTCCCTGAGTGTTTGGGGGTAACTTCTTTCTTGAAAGCCTCCTTTTAYTGATGCCATTTTTACTGAACTGTTAGAGTAACATTATGTAAATTCTCTTTGCAGCACTCAGTGGTGGTGTCCGGTTCTGTCAGTATCTTCATTAGCATGTCCCATTTTTGTAGGGTTGAGGTTTCTCTCCCACTCTCCCCCCTATTGCCCCTGGCAGAAAGACTTTGCACGAGGTCTGAGCAAGGGAGAGAACACTCACAGTTCAGCTTTTTGGGAACCACGTGAGCGGGTTGGAAAGCCTGAAGTTAAGAGACTGCGGTTAATCTCCCTCTGTGCTCTTTCAGGAGGACATTTATCAGTCTGCAGCTGCCTTTAGAGAGAGAGAAAATAACAGTTCAGGATGAAATTCTCTTCAGCCCAAGGTGCTTGGATGATAATGTGTGGGTGGGAGAGTGGTGGGTGTGCCAGGGAGAGGGAGTTCCTCTCTCGACTGCTGCTCATGGCTTGGGCTCGGGGATGGTTTCAGTGCGTGGAGGGGACGCGTTTCAAGGGCAGGCTGGCAGTGCCCACAGCCCAATCCCACACTCACTGAGCCCCTCAGGGCTGTGTCAGAGGCTCTGACCCTCCTCTTAGCTGGCTYCCATCATCATCCTCCAGCCTTGGACCATGCTCAGACCCGCTCTCCACCCCCTGAGCTGGAGCATCGCTCTCAAGGTGCTGCTGGCTTTGCAGGAATTCAGGCTTTGCTCTGCATCCTGTTCAATCTCCTGCTTGGAGCTGAGCTTTTGGGCTCTGCCTGGGTCTGCCCCTGATTGTGGTGGGGWTTTTTGCCTCTCCATTTGCACTGGTTTGAATCCAGGTACACAAGGAGCAAAGCAGAAATTGCCATTGCAGCTTCAGAGCTATTACCTGGTATWGCTTAAAGGCAGCCCAGCAGAGCACAGTGGCTCCTTCAGAGAAGGATTCCCCCTGCCTTCGACTTCAATGACCTTTTGCATCAAGATCCCATGTTTTGAAAAGTGCCTTGAGTAAAACAYATATGTACCACAAGGCATCACAATCAATCAGTTGTATCAATATTTATAATTAGTGAGCATCCTAACCGCACTCCAGTATTAGACCCATTTTTCAACGTTAGAAAACTAGACAAAACTAAATCCCTTCCTGAAAAAATAACAAAGTCCCTAAAATCCAAACCAACCATCATTTGCAGTAGTGGCAATTAGGAACATACATCTTAGGGTGAACATATCTTTGACTGTGAAATCCAAACCGAAAAACCACCAGAAGCCAAAGAAGTCATTGCTTCTGTTGTGTCAACTCATGGAGGCTTTTTGGGTGATGACAGATCTTTCTGTCCTATTTCTGCCCCTTTCTTTAGGAAACTAGAGATACCAAGAAAATTTAAAAAAAAAAAAAAAGGGAAGAATAAAAAGCCACAGTAAGGGACAGCTCTTCCCAAAGCCTGGTGATCAGACCAGCTGCTCGTTTTAGCTCTCCACAGCTGCAGTTGCCTCTGTCAAAATTTTCAGCTGCATTTTGCAGCTGCTGTTCTGACACAARTGCAAATCCATGACTCTGCAGCCATGGTTTGGACTGCAAGAGCGAGCTGCACCTGCRGAACAACAGGAACTTCTGTGTCCTRTTATAAATCCCATCCTGGGACTCTGAAAGAAAGGGGAGGGTTATGGGATTAATTACAGGGTTGCTGCAGGATGCTGGAGTCTGCACAGACCTTGTGGGTTCCGTTTAAGTGCCAAGATTTCAAGTGTTGAATGTTCTTGCCTGACTTGGTCTGCTGGTTAAGACAGACCCACAACCACTGCCCAGGACTCCCTGGTGAATCGCTCAGTGCTGTCTGGGGGCCAGATTTTGTTAAAATTCCTGGAATGCATGAACCTGCCATGAARTGATGCTGTGAAAGAGACAGCAGGATAATGGATGTTGGCTTTGTTAGAAAGCTTTARCCTTAATGGCATTCCTCTGCCTTTGTGACAGACTGCTTTCCTTTCTCTGTAACTGATATTAATCCTAGGTAACACTGCATGGCATGCAAAAGAATCTCTGTTTAGGTTTATCTTGCAAGTCAGGTGTAACTTTGTGCCACTTTACAATGAGAGAATGTGTTAACAGGATTAGTCTGACCTTGAAAATCATTTGGGCGGGCCCAGAATGTCTCTTACTACGGTTCAAGTGCAGCTTGAGTGGTTCGAATGTGTAGTGGCTAAATAGTAAATGGTAAAATACCATGTTCATGAAAAAAAATACAGTGTTTCCAGGTCTCTTTCTAAGGCTGCTTTGACTCTGATATTCTAAGGCTGTCCATTGCCAGTTCAGTGGAACCAGCCTRTGCTTTGCAGTGGCACGATGGGTGTCCTGCAGGCACAATCAGCAGCCTGTGCATGGGCTGTCCTGGGCTCTGTGTGCTGGGTGGGGCCAGTTTGTGGGGTTGACCCTGGCTGGTGCAATTCTGAAGGACTTTGCCTCTGAAGCCCATGCTGGGAGCATTAGGAGTTATTCCATGGAGCTGTTGGTGTTGGGAACATTAGGAGTTATTCCATGGAGCTGCTGGCGTTGGGAGCATAAGGAGTTGTTGGTATTGGGAGCATTAAGAGCTGATCCATGGAGTTGTTGGTGTTGGGAGCATTAGAAGTTGTTCCATGGATCTGTTGGCGTTGGGAACATTAGGAGTTGTTCCATGGAACTGTTGGCTTTGGGAGCATCATATGTTGCTCCATGGAGCTGTTGGTGTTGGGAGCATTAGGAATTGTTGCCATTTGGGAGCATTAGGAGTTGTTGCCATTGGGAGCATTAGGAATTGTTGCCATTGGGAGCATTAGGAGTTGTTGGCATTGGGAGCATTAGGAGTTGTTGGCATTGGGAGCATTAGGAGTTGTTGGCATTGGGAGCTTTAGGAATTGTTGGCATTGGGAGCATTAGGAGTTGTTCCATGGAGCTGTTGGTGGCTCATCTGTCACGCCCCTGGCCCTGTCCATGGTGTGATGGGTGTGCTGCTACTGGGGCATCCCTCCTCTGTCCAAAACCATGAATCATGCTCCTGCACCTCAGGCTGGGCTGAAAACCACCCCCTGTAGTCGTTAAGTGCAATAAGGACACGAAGGTGTCACTTCCACCCAAGCCAGTGCTCAAACAGGACACACCACACAGAGGGAGCTCTCAGCTGCATGCTTTCCTTCCCTCCAAGAGCTCAAAACCTGTACAGATGTTCCTGCCAGATGYTGGGAACAGCATCCTCAGCACCTCCCCTGTGCTTTATGTGTTATAAGCATTTCACCTGCACACCAGTGGATTTTATCTTCCCGGACTTGGGAATAGAAATAAAAACATGTACAGAAAACGTGTACAGAAAAGCAAGCACTTTCCAAAGCAAATGAACTAGAGTACTTTTAATAGCTTTTTTTGGTGTAATGTTGCATATASAAGATAGAGCAGCACTTCAGGATAATTACTGAAAAAAAAATATTGTAGTAAGGATTCAGTTCTTCTGAATTTATTTTAGACAATCCTTTTTTTCTCCCCATTTTTCTGTCTTTGCCAGGGCACAGGGGTTAGAGCAGAGCTGATTTTGGAAGTGACAAGCTTTGTCCATTTTTCTTTTCCCCATTCTGCAGAAGTTGCACAGCTACAGGGGCTCGATGCTGTTGGCACCCAAGGCTGGGCTCATTGCTACACTCGAGTTCAGTCTTCATTTACCACCACATGGAGAGTAATCCTTTWGCACAGGTGTGACCTGAAGGTTGAATCTGATAATCTTATTGGGCTTTAMTGTGCATTTTGAATCCCAGGACAGTCTCAGAGGACTGGCAGCTGCAGAAATAACATTGCACGTTTTGCAAAGCCAAGAGCAGTTGCTCTGGAAGAAACTGAGATGGTTCCACAGATGTCATTGTTTGCATGGGTCAGGAAACAGATGTTGTGCTCATGAAATAGCTTAGAGGCATTTTGGGGGAAAAGACATCCTGAACTGGAAGGAAAAATAAAAAAACCCAAAGGTTTAATATAGAATTTGGGAGTGAGGACATAGAGAGATATATTGTGAGAAATTGACACTTTTTAACTTGGATTTTGAGTATTTAGAAAACATTGGCCTATCTTTTTGGATGTCAGAATTGGAGAGGTTGTTTCTTAAAATAATGTTTTTTTCCCTAAGTGGGGTGTTGTCAGTGATACCTTTTTTTTTTAAATAAAAAGTTCAAATACTATTTTCCTACAGAAGAGGATTTGAATGAGTTTTGTTAATGTTGCTCTTAATCAGCTGCAGGAGGAAAAGTTTGATCCATGTAGATTTCCACATCTGGGAATGTTTTTTATAACTTGCCCTTATTTTTTTTTAGTACGAATAGATAACAGAATTTCTATGTGTTTTATTTGGCTTAACAGGCTGTGGTGCATTTCCAAATGAAATACATTCCTAAAACAAACTGCTGAATGGAGCTGAAGTTGACCAAAAGCCCACATTTTTTTTTCTGGCAGGAAAGCAGTGAATGTTCTTACTGACATAAAGAATATTGTGCAAAGATSATCTCTGTGATATCTAACAGATGACAAACAAACTAAAATCATCCTTACTGAGGGTGCATTTAGTCAGAAAATTGACCTTGCAGTGCACAGTGGGACAAGAAGGCACATATTGATTTTGAATGCCCAAATGGCAAAAGCATTCAAAAAGGGCTTGACCAGGCCATGCTGAATAAATTTATCGAATTAATTTATTGTATTATTTACTATTGTTAATAATAATGCTCA